GGGGGGGGTTCCGTAATCCTAGGTTGACATTATCGCAAGCAGTCTGAGAACATGTTCAGACTGTTTGAGACTTCGAGAATGTTTGAGATCTTGTTGAATGAAAGGTCGGACTCCGCACTGCAAACTGGATGTCATCATGTTTGTGGTGCTGCTGCTTTCCGATCGTCTCAGCCCACCGTGCGGTTTGGAGGACATTGCCAATGCCTTAGAGCGCATCTCCATCGGTTTGGAGAAGAAGGATGCCGCTTGGTGCGGTACCAGTCAGACATGCGGACATGCGTTTAACATGTTTTTCAATATAACTGAGCCTCCTCCAAACAGTGTGAATACTAGTTCTTCCCGCCAATACAATATTTCAAGTAACGTGTCATTTTCTTGCATCAACAGCAACAGTCTAACGTATTGTCATGCGGATTCTCCAATTCAATTCTTCATGGCAAGGCTGTCATGAGTGAGAAAAAGAAGAAACTGGTGGCCTACCACGAAGCTGGTCATGCTATTCTGGGTGCCCTGGCGAAACTGACCACAGTTCACCAGAGCAGTGGAGACACTCTGAGACACCACATCTTGAAAGTCGTCATCTCAATAGTTGAAGTGTATTTGGCCAGGCTGTTCGTTTTCAAACTGCGGCTTTCTTCGTTGCTCATGAGCAACCATGTTTATGTACAGTTCTTATTCTTATTTAACATTTATCGATGTGTGATTGGGTTGTTTGTTGATACCGTGTTTGTGACGCAGTCCGACGGAAACAGAGCCGGAACGGAGCCTGGGAATGTCCGAGGCTTGGAGGGTGGATAAGGCCTTTGAAGGTAAAAACATTAAGTTCCATAGAGCCCTGTGCCATTTCTACTAGGATGCCTGGGGTGCAAATTGATACTTTGGTACTTTGGGTGCATTTGACAACTTGTTTGGTCAAATTAGATTCATGTGCATGTTTGGCTGTGTGACCCCAAAAGGCAAAGCTGCAGAGTGCTCGGACTGGAAGACCATCTATAGATGGCCTTTGGGTACATTGCTTGGTTGATGACGAGTATGCTTTTTTTGGGATACTCAAAACCGTGATACCCAGCGGATATACGGTGACCAAATCGAAAAAAGGTGCCCTGATGAACGACTACGACGTGGTGGCCAAGATCAGCATCGTGCCCCGGGGACCAGCAGGCGGGGGGGCTTTTCAGCGGTGTGTTGAACTGGGTTCGTTCCATCGGTTCGTTTGTTGGTGTTAACAGCCCATGTATTGGGTGCATTCATGTCAAGCCTGGTTGAAAGGACATTGATTTGCGCTATTCAGCATTGTCCCAGCGCCCATGTTCTGAGGCCCACGGCCCCGATCGCTGGTGCATCTTCCATCCTTGGACCCGTATCTCGGACCCGTATCTCGGACCCGGAGGCGGTGTGACGATCTTCATGCCCTCGGAGGAACGCCTGAACTCGGGACTCTACTCCAAGGACGGCGGAAGACGAAGCATCGAAGCGGCAAGGACGAAGGAGGCCTCAAGACAGCACGTCCAACAAGACACGCGGGGGCCTGGCGTTTGGGCGTCCTTGGGGGGTCAAAAACGATCACCATGGATAAGTCAGTGTACACCTTGGATTCAGAGGCCACCTTTTGGTTTCAGGGGAGTAACCGCAACCATATCGTACGTAACTACTTACTTATCCTGAGTGTGTTTGTTCTAAATGTTTAATAAAGGGGGAGGCCGCAAGGGGTAAGTGGATTCTTGAGTGCCTGCTGTAGGCTTGGTGATCTGTTTTGGGCCAGCAAGAGTGCCATGACGACATGCGTGAATTTGTGGCCTGGACAGGCTTTCCGTGCAAATCGCTTGGATCCTTGTACTTCTAGTTCGTATTCACTGTGAGTGGGCTCCCACGCAAACCCGAAGTTGATCGCAGGGCAGCAGTTCAGTCAGCAGGGGCCCATATCTCACTTGCAGTATCTCACAGTGAAAAGATGGGAGCTGAAACCAGGAGTAGAGACACCCCTCCACCTTGTGCGGCAGACGCTGCCAGGAGTTCTTGGAGAATCGCATGTGTGTCGCTCTTGGAGGGCGTTTCTGGGCGCCAAGAACCATGTGGGAATTGGGTGTTTAACCATGGTGTTCACCTCCCTTTCCCGTATTTATCCTATGCACCCGAGCCCCTAGTTCACTAATGAGATTCATTAATTGCAAGATATAAAGGTCTTACATGTCCCAGACACTACATGTATGGAATATATGCCTACATTCGGGTGGTTTGGGGGGGTCAATGTAGGCATATATAGCATACATGGAGTGTCTGGGTGTGGTATCATGAAATGCAACAAAGATGCCACAAGCACCACCGTGCGATGGTTGTCAGGACTTTTGGCAAAACACCATTGACCATGTTGTGCCACTTTGGCTGATGGACAACAAAAGTGTGACACAAATTGAATCAGGCCATTGCTGTGTGTGCATCAAAATAGGAGGACCTCCCAGCCAATGACTCCCTGGAAGAAGGAACATAGACCAAAACCCATTGGTTGGGTGTTTTCCTTTTTAAATTACACACCCAGCTAGAGCTTCCAAAAAGCAGGTTCAGTAGTGGTTCTTGTTCACGCAGTCTCACTTGTGGAGTTCAACCAGTTGCCTTGTGGAGTTCAACCATTCACAAGGACTGTTGTAACAGACTGCTGACTGCTGTTGACTGAGCCGTCAGATTGTTTGGTGCGTCCACAGAGCCAAACTGTTTGGTGGAGATTTCAACATCTTGAGGCAGTTGATAGTAATAGTAGTAGCTTCTTGTTCCTAGTAGTAATGCCAGGAGCTACGTTCGTAGTTTTGTTCCGTTCGTAGCAGCGATGCCCTTGTTACTAGTGCCAGTTGGGATCTTGTGTTAATCAGCCCAGACGATCCAAACCCGAGTGCGGCTGTGCCATACCGCGGCACACAGCCGCGTCTGAGGCATTGCTGAGGAGATCATCAATGGCAAGGAGAGGTGAAGAGCCCTACCGGGGCATGTCAAGGGCCCTACCGGACCGGTCCACCATGGCAGGGGAGCGAACAGCAGCGACGGAACAGACCGATGTCGACTCCTTGGTTGTAGGAACCCCTTCCCTATTTAGATGGACCAATCTCTTCATATTCATATCTGTGTTTCAATATGTTTTAATTCATCAAGAGATATCACGAGTCTACGTATACCTTGTGCCCTTGCTTCAAGTTGACGTCCAGCAGTCCGCTGTGTCCGCCGTGGCCCAGACTCCAACCTTCGCAGTTCTTGGAGCTAGCAGGTACATCTCAAGCTACCCCTACAAGTCCAAAGACCCAGTAAAACCTGGTCTTTTACATCCTTGAGTATTGGTTTTGTATGACCATCCCCAGTAAAATGAGGTCTTTGACTGCAAAATTGCCCTTCTTGATCGCAACTGGAGATCAAGCAGATGGGGAGTGCACGCGAGTCTTTGTTAAGGGTGTGAGGCACTGAGTCTTGATCTCAACTGAGTCTGCTCGAAGTGGCGGGATCTTTCCCGGGTGAACGATTGCTTGGCTATGTCCCTGATTCCTTTCAAGAACCGTGCGAGACCCCCGGTCCGGAGTCGCTTCCAAGGGGTGGTCCAACGGGAGCATATCAAAGCATGCGGAGTTCTCACACTGGAAGATCTGTTCAACCACCAGGCCACGTGCCCTGCATCCCACGTGCCCAACTTCTTGGGTCACCAAGAGGTTGAGGATCATCACAACGAATGACAGCCTGTGCCAGGGGGCCTGTGCCAGGGGGCCTGTGCCAGGGGGCGTGTGCCAGGGGGGCCTGTACCAGGACCTGTGAACCGCGGGGCACACAAGATCTTTCATCATGGCCTGAGGTTTGCTCCTCCTTCCTTGCAAGCAGAAGAAAAGAACATATTTACGTAGAATCAAATTCTTCCTGATTCCTGACCAACACATCTTCGGCCTCATGATGAGTGAATTGTCGGCGGCCTCGTGGAGCAAACGCAACGCGCCCTGCAACCCTGTGCCCGGCGGCAAGCAGAGTGGCACTGCTTGTTGTTGGTGCCGGCATTGGAGCATTTTTCGTGAGTCGTTGCTGAACGATCCTGCACCCGGTAAGTACGTATGTTGATAGAAATTCATCAATCCATTGTGTGCATACTGCTCGGGTATCGGACAGAAGGGGATTGAACGTCTTTCAACACATTGTCCATCAGCTGCAGAAATCACCCACACAGGTTTAGTTGCTCACACTGACAACTGACTCACTTATGATTCATGGGCGGCAAAGGATTGATTGGAAGAAAACACTTTGCAGGGACACAGAATGCGAAGTCGCTTTGGCACTGTGATGTCCAGGACAACGTCACAACTGGGGCTTCAAATGACTTCCAGCAGTGTACTCAGGCAGGCATCGAACATAGAACATGCAAGGAAGATGTCCAAAGATAATAAGGAAAGAGGGGTGATCGGTGATACTTCCATTTGTGGAGTGGAGTTGGTGGAGCCCCAGAGTCACGGCGGTCACAGGGCATGGGGAGTTGAGTCGCCGAGTTGTCGTGGCGCAGGTGGCACAGGCCATGGTGATGCAGCTGGGCATGTCGCCTGCAGTGGGGCAACGGCTGCTGGGAGGAGAGGGCAGCGGAAATATTGGCGAAGGCAACGATCGGAGCAGGTTGGGTTCCTGATGGTTCCTGTAGTTAGTTCACTAGTTTCTCAAGACAAGAAGCGCTGAATAGCTCGAGGTTTTCCTTTGGTTTCAGTACCAAAATGATCAAGGTCCTAGTAAACTCCTTGTCTTCACCGGCCGTTAGATTGATAGCTCCTGCTAAGAAGTCTAAGAAGGAGTTGCACCAGGAGCTTTTCAGGGAGAACTCATCACAAACCTGTCGACGGAGGCCCAAAAGCTGAATGTTTGCAGAGCTTCACCACTAACCAGAGCAGGTTGGGTCGGGTGGGTATTTTTCGCATACTGACCGTCACCGACCTGTGGCTTCGACCATGTTTGCTCTACAACCCAGTGGTTTTGGGGTTCCATGTGGTCGGCTGCAGGGGGATAAACACCTCATGGAGCTGGCCCACGATGTCCTGGCCGGATGCAGATATCAGCCATCAGCCACATCGTGCCACATTGTGTGACCGGGATGGTTTAGCCTTAGAATGCTCTACCAGGAGTCACCAGACGGGGTGCCGAACTGAACTGGATACGGATAGGGGTGCTTATGGAACATCCACGACCACGTGGGACGAGGCAAACCTTCCAACTCCATGTGACTCCTGGTAGATGAGTGTCGTTTTACCGCTTATTCTCGACCCACTCCTTATACCTATATTATTTTGTAGCTGGGCAGGCATGAGCACCGGAGCACCCCAACATGGGTGAGAAGAAAGAATCACCAAGCCAATCAACCAGCACTCCAGCTGTTGGAGCCAATCAACTACCATTTGGTCGGCTCCTTCACCGTGGGCTTTGCCGCAGTCCTACCACCTGCTCCATCCGCGCCTCCAGGACAACAGCAAGGTGGGCCTTTCATGGGTTCGGCGCCCAGGGGAAGTGGATCCGCCGAATGGTTTGTGGATCCGATGAAACAAAGCTGTCCTGTCAAGGTGTGCCTGATCTTCTCGTAAGGGACACCCAAATGCCCTAGAGAGGTAATTCACAGTGGTTGAAAGATGGCGATCCTTTCCAGGTTTGGACTTGCTGTTAAAGAGCTCCTATAGTAGGTCGTTACTTTTGGGTCTTGAGGTCATGCTTTTGACCAAGCTGCATGTTTGACATGGGCGGCCGTGGGCGGCCAACCAACCAAGCAACACTCCCACCTTTTATTGTTTAAAGCTGCAAGCAGCCATAAATAAGGTCTCGCCTGTAGCCTATGTGCATTCAATTTTTCAGTGGATGGAACTCGGTTATAACTCCCACCAACCAAATCGTGCGCTGCGTTCAGAGGTCGTGACTTCATGGGACAAGGCGCTCCTCCTGTCTCCCAGCAACTCAAGCAGCAGGTCGACGGAGAGGCGCAACACTGACTGACGAGCCGGTACCCGGTCGGTGCTTGCTCTGAAGCTGCATGGACCAGCACAATGTGACATATATAGTGACCTCTTTTTTAAAGCAGGCAGCAGGTTGAAGACATAGAGGGTGAACATTGTTCGACAATTATATTATATATAGCATTAGGACTGTCGACACCTTGAAGACATGTTTCTTCTTTTGTCAGGCTTCATGTGTGTCTCCCACTTCAGTGAACATCGGGCCCGGCAGCCTCATCAGCCAAATCGCTCGGATGTTGGTCCAAAATCGGTTCCCCCTTCGGCCCCGGGATGTGTTTGGATCGGTCCAAAACCGGGAGGACAAGGCAGCGGAGCGGACCGCGTGGTTCGCCCCGAGTGAGCCGGTCCAAGTGGTTCGCTGGGTTTTTCAACGCAGGTGAAGCGCATTGTCGATGAGCAGTACCAACGTGGTGTGAAGCTGTTCCTTGGTACTGCTTGGTGTGAGGGAATCATCTGCACCGCATCACGATGTTCAGGGGTCAGTTTCTAGTTCCAGCTATAAAACTTGTCCATTTGAGTATAGCCAATGGACTGATTGTTGTGCGGTCGCACGCCGCAGGTTGTGCCATCTAAATCGCTACTCTGAAACCAATCTGTTTCGTGTGGATCGACTGAGCTGCGGCGTGCGACCGCACACTCGGACAGGGTGACATCGGGGTGGAACACATCGGAACACGACGTCAAGACTCTTCGCGTCCATTCCGCAAGACTCAGATCATTCTGTCGGAAGTGATTGGTTCATACGAGCAGCCGTCGAAACTGAGGGAAGCGATGGCCCCCCCTCCCCCCAAAAAGTAATATGTGATGGCATAAGATTGAACAGGGAGTTTTGACAGCCGCAGCTAGATGTTCATGTGTTATAAAGCCAGCCCGAACCTGTGACTCGGAAGCACGACCGCAAAGAGTGCCTTTTCTTCATTTGCCCTAGGGCACTGTGGTGGTTCAGGTGGTTGGGGTGGGTTTGGGGGTCTAACATGCCTTCTGAGGTGGTTGGATCCCTAAATTTGAGTTATGAGTTGACCATGCCTTTTCTTCATCACTGGAGATGATCCGATGTTCACATGCAGATGATTGGTGATGGGCCCAACAGTCGGGTGTTGCTTCGTCCTGAGACCTGTTGTGATCATCATCACTTGGTGATAAGAAACATCAGCTTGTCAGAATGCCAGAAATGCTGAAGTCCATCGCGGGGGGGGGTCATGCAATGACTACCTCTAGGCTGCAAGACAACATGTACTTGTTGGATGAGCTCGCGAAGATGCTCTTGGATCAGGTGGCAGTCCGTTAGATCACCCGGGTAGTGTGGTTTGGGTGTCATACCCAGAAGCTCCATGTATGGAATATATGCCGATCAGTTGGGGTGGTGCCAGGGGGTCAATGTAGGCATATAGGGCAGTCCCATGGAGCGTTTGCGATAGACACATCTGCACATCGCGAGGGCTTTTGGTGCTTTAAGGCAGGACATTGGGACCATTATTTACTTGCATATAAATAAATACTATTCAATACTGCATTATGTGTGATTCATTGAGCTGAAGCCACAACTGAGTATGTAGATATATACTAGTATAAGTGACCTCCCTACAAACATGACACTGGTTGGGTTGTGGCAGCATCATCGCAGCTCAGGGATTGCATGTTCCGTTTTGTTTGACTTGGAGAGGAACTAGGTCTGGCTCAGGCACGGAGCATCTTAGAGCACCTCCACAGCCGGTTACAGTACTCCTTACAAGTTCAAAATCATCACATATATTCGCGGTTTACACCATTTTGCACTCCTGGTACTCACGTTGTTTTCCCTGACGTTCATCCACACTGCGAGTTCGTAGCCGGGGTGTGCGCACACCGCACACCCCATCGATGCCTCCACCATCCGATGCCGCGGCGTTCGGTCACCTGGCCCTCCAAGCAAATGCCACATGTGCTTTTCCCAGTGGCGCTTCAGAGTCACCCATCGATTCCTTATTTTGACGGTTTCATGAATGGGCTCGGTATGGCTCGGTGTGCACAGTCTGTGCGCTGGAAAAGATTGCCAAGCAAAGCGCAAATGCACGCGGCCCTCCGCTTTTGTGAGGAGAAAGTGAGTGGAGAGGAGCTTTTCAAGCTCATTAACCAGGTGCGATGGGTTGCTGATGAGTCGGGAGAACATGCCAAGAAAGCTGTGGGGAGGGAACCAGGGCAGCCAGGTAGCGAGCGAAGAGCCGCACAGCCGCGTAAGGCCAATATGTTTGAACGATTAATGAAGATGGGAAGAGGCAAGGGAGCCGTGGTCAAGTAGTCAACGACTTTGCTTTTGAGGAATGGAGCATTAATGTGAAGATGTGATGGAATGGACGAAGACCCGCAAGCCAGTGAAGTGATGCCTGAGTCTTTGATGTCAGGTGAACGGAGGGTTTGGGAGAAGACTGCATTCACCAGTGGAACGGACTATAATGGATCCCTGGATCGCTGGTTGGAGTCAACCCATGAGAGGGAAAATGGGGAAAAAGAGGTCATTGGGCAAGAGCAAGACACTGGCAGGTTTATTTGTTGATGGTAAGCACCTGCAAGGCTTGCACCTTTCCTTGACCAGTGACATGTTCCAGGCACGTTCCGAGATGGATAGTAATCCTCCCGAGTCCAGGTGCGATCCAGTCCAGCATACGCACTCCCTGAAAGCGCATGGCACCCTGGGATGAGAAATCCGGAGACCAAACAGGTGATGACTTCACTCCCTCCACATACCAGGTCGATGCGTACATCGACCATCTCATTGCAGGTTGCAGTCCCTGTAGTCTCTGAAAACCCGGCAGTCAGTCACCTGCTGTTCTTCAGTCTGTTTTGGCACCCTCCGTCCTCACAGGCAGCAGCCGAAGGGAAGTTGGTGATGAGCAACAAGATGGCGGTCGCTGCTTACGCTGGAGAGGAGGTCACCGCAGTGGCGAAGAAGAGCAGGCCCCCACGAACGCGCGCACCTGATCGGCATCCTGTAGCCGTAGCCCTTGTTAGTGGAGACCGGGGGGTGAAAAAGGCGCAAGGGATCTGAGGACTGAGTAGTGAGTAGTGTGTGTCAGATGAACACCTCACAAGCTGTTTTAGATCAATTATAAGCGTTTAATCTTTGAATCTTTTGAGCCTTGACTATTTGTTCCTATGTTGGCATTCTACACTTGATTTGTACAGTATACCCTTGAAAGAACTCTTTGCTCAGTTCTCAAAAGAGGTTGGACAAGAACGGGATTTGCGCCACGAGTTCTGGGGGGAGTATAAGCAGTGCTTTGAGTCTTTCAGTGGATACTCGTACTGAGTTTAAGGAAATTTGGACGGCTTATTTGAATGCGATGAGTTGGCTTGAACGGCAAATATGTTTTCGTTGAAGACAGCAAGTTACCCTCAATCAACGAAGTTGACACAAACGACGGTGCTGGTTTGTGTGATCTTCCTGTCATTTTGCGGATTATGGACATACAGTATATTTACCACCCAGGTCGGGTGGTTATTAAATGGAAAACACATCTTCACGGGGTCGTCTATAAAGCATCCGAGCTGGGTGGTGCTGGGTGCGTCTAGAAGATCGTTTCGGCCAATTCCGGTGTAGGTCACGGCCCCGCCTTCACACCACCCTGCCAAGTGTGGCACTTTGAGTCATACCATATTCAATCTTTAAGTGTCCAAGGTAGCTCCATGGTGAAGACCCTAGCCTTTTTCCTGACCCAGTGAAACACTTTCGACTTGGATTCAGGGTCCGATTTTGGTCGTGTCCGCGAGATTCTGCAGGTGTGTCCACCCGGATAAGCCCATGATGTTCGCTTGCGCCGACTGCCCGCGCCGTGGGTTCTGCGGCACCAGCGCGGTCCCAAAAGCCGCTTCTGCCCGGAGTGGACGGAGCGCGCGTGCTGCAGTTGCACGCCTGGGGCTGGCTGCGGAACCAGAAAGAGTCCACTGGAAATGATTTCTGGAAGTGGGTGGATGGGGCACAGGCAGACGGGTGGTTAGTTCAAGCAGAGATTGTGTTTGTAGCAACCTGCATGTGTTTTGTTTGCCACCAAGTTATTTGCTTTGTAGCCACGGGCAGGGCAGTTTTGTATTGCTAGAAACGCCTGGTTGGATTCCCAAGAAACCAACTCAGATACCTATTGTTGCATTGGTATTTCTGCCTTGGCCGGAGTTTGCTGTTTCTGCGTTGGCCGGCGGCCGAAGTCTCCTTGGTATCCGAGGCATGCACTAGTGATGTTGTGATGGAGAAGGTGCAGGAGAGGGATGAGGGCTGCTGGTCATCATGCATGAATCGCATTTAAACCGTGTAAGTAGACCATCAAGACATATCAACACGGAAGCACTCTTGCTGTTGGATATCAACTTTCCAGGTTGTCCAAGCATTCCAGGCCACACAACTTGCCATCCCATCTAGGAGATGGCTTCAGACATCTCCAATGGCCAAGCTCTTCCAGAGTCTCTGGTGAAGTCCGTGGCAGTGCAGCTTGGAAGATTGGGTCACGGTAGGATAGTGCGAAGATATGCGAGGCTGTTTGTTGTTGTTGAAGCCCGTCATCTGATCACCTGGGTCCCTCCTGAAACAAGCCTTTCTGCTTGGAGGTCCCCAACTCTAGTTCTTTTGAACTCTCTCATGTGTTGCTTTCTTGATAACCATGTGTTTTTTCGGTTCAACATTTCATAGTGGAAGTGTTTTTGCAATTTCCAATATTCATGTTATATATTGTACGATATGTAGAACCGATTTGGAATGCATGTTGGCGAGTTTGCTTTGACTTTCCTATTCTGTGGTCACAATTTGATGAAGCTCCTCAATAGATGTTCGCATATGCTTAGGTCCCTTGAGCAAAACCGAGTATTTGCCCTTAAATTGCGTGTTGTCGCACAAAGCCGGTCAGCAGCACATGCTTGGTTTTCTTGATCATGCCTTCTGGGTGCTAGTAACCCTTGGAGGTGAACATCACTTGTGGATACATCATTCGATGTTTGCCATACACTGGACATGGGCTCCAACCACGTCCGAAGTCGAAGGTCGTTGGGCTGGGTGCGTGGTATAACGAGGGTCAAGAATTGGCTTCTCAGGATGGGGTGGGAGCCGACTGGGACTGGACATGTTCAGTTAAAGGTGTCGAGATGCGGACCTTGTGGTGGTTACTCTGCTTCACGGAATCTACAAAGTCTTTGCCGAGAGCCACCTTGATTTATAGAGGGAATCTTTAAACCTCCTATAAAGTCTTGAAGAACTCTACGCAAGGACCTATCCACTGCTTTCTCCAAGGTGTTTTTGGCTGAAATGACCTTGTGTAGACCAACTGGTGGTTCGCTTCAAGCTTTCGTGTTCTCGCAGTGCCAAATGATGCCAATGCTCCTCTCAATCTATTGGCAGACCGTTGATCCCTTCTTTATATCCCAGATGTTGAAGGCATATCCCTAGGGATCCGAGTTCATTCGACCCGGTTCGGTATGACTGGACCGGACCCTTTCACCTACACAACATCACTGAGGTTCGGTACGAAAACGGATCCCATATCGGGTATGATATGTCCGCCCAACATATTTACCAGAGCTCCTAAGGTCCACCATGGTGGCCCTGTGCGCCTCCGCTGCACCGCTGCCTGCGCTCGCGGACGATGCCGTGCCGCCCATGCAGCCCTTCGGGGCTCCGCAGATGCAGCAGGCGCCAGCATCTTGGCATCGGAGAAGGTGGAGCAACAGCAATGCTTAAACATATCATAGAGAACACTTGCCAACACCATCCTGCGTCACTTAAGCATATTAAAACAGCATTTGATAATTTAACCACTCAAACCAGCAAAGAACCGTCTCCAACGGCTGGGAAGCCATGATGGCATCCCAAAACCATCCAAAGAACTATAGCCAACACATGGCCAAAGCCATTAAAGAATCAACTTGATAATCAAGAAATGGAAGAGTTTAATGACCCAGTAACTTTGGTGGCACTCCGGCATTAAGGACACCTGGCGCTCTCTTTTTGGACAAATCTCTTTGACCCAGATTTTCCAGGTGGAAGGACACCTGGCTCTTGGTGGTCAATCTTTTGTCAACCCATGAAGGACGCTGCTGGATCTTTGGGGGAGGTCAGAATAAGAACAATGCGAATGCTATCGCAGTGTAAACGAAGCGCTTTTGTGGCATCGAAGTCCTTTTCGACTCTAACTGAAACATGGTCTTTATGCACGGTGACCCGTTCAAAGGAGTCTTTACTTCTGCGCCAAACATCGTCGAACTGCACTTCTATATAGCTAAATATACAGTAACCCAGAATCCATGCAGAACCTCATTTGACCTCTGGTTCGATACAGGAAAAGACCCTGTTTGATTTGCATTGATGGTCTAACTATCGAGCTTGACCTCAGCTTCTATATAAGGTACCAACAAAAAGAACCGCGCCCCTCCAGCGCCCCATGAATGGAATGGCGCACCCCATCAAGCCGAATGGCGCCCCTCCAGCGCGCCCGCTTGGGCCCAGGCTCGCGTCAGTGGACGGGTGACCTATTCTCGACTTCTGGAGTTCGTGGACGAAGGTTCCGTGCCTCTTGGCGACCGGACGGACGACCGGTGGGGACCGTTTTGGGACCGGTCAAAGCAACGGGTTCAATGCGAACTCGCACGTGAAGGTGGTGTTTGGGTGTGTGTGACCAAAGACGTGGGGGGACGGGAAGATGCCTTTGGCAGGTGTTTCTTTTTGGGAGTTGGGATCAACGGACACCAACAGAAGTTTGGACGAGAAGACACAGGAACAATGCCATACAAAGCGGTTAGAGGGCCAGAGGAGCCCGGGATGGACAGACCTTCAACCCGGCGCTTTCAGCACCCATCTTGTAGATGAATTTGATCAGGTTAGCAGGTTAGCAAATGGTTTTTGGTGGCCTTCTTCCAGTGTCGGAGATGAATCTCTAGCATGCATTCACGTTCCTTTGCCACCGGTAGACCAGATTCCCGATTCTGCAATTCTCCCACTTTGCGAATCGGGACCATGGCCGATTGCCATTGCACGTGCCATTCTCTTGGATAGTTGTAGTCTATCCGGCTTGCACCTGGCTTTGGGGAAACCTATTCACCAAGGAGAGCCTGGACTCAGCACGGGTTGAACAGCTTCCACCAGTTTTTATCACAGGATGGACTGCCTTTGACCGCTTATAACTTCCATTGCCCATTGCGATGGAGAAGATCGAGATTGAACAGTGGGTGCAGAAAGCAAAGCAAGAGCAGAAAGAGGAGTACAGGCGAGCTACCCTAAGGGGTTTGAGGCAACCTTCTGCACCTTGCAGGATGGTGAAGGACCGTCAACTCAGCTCGATGATAACGATGAACTGGCGCCACCTACTGTTACTCCTGCTATTAGCTGTGCGTGATTTGCCTGAGGATTCACTGTTTCACCAGATGTGAGGTTGGACCATCAGACGCAAGAGGACGTCCTCATGCGGCCCCCAGAGTTGGAAGGAGCGAAGGCAAAAACGACGCCGGGCCTTGCTCCGCAAGTCTTGTGCCTTGATCCGTGGAAAACCAATCCACAATGCCACTTCCCCCAACAGACAACGGCCAAACTGGGGGGCAGTTGGGGCTCTGCTTCTTACTGCAACTGACAAAACAGCGGCTCTCCATGAAAAGTTAAATCGTGGTGGTCTTGCATCAAAACCATGTCCCTTCCCACTTCACACACACGCAGTTCTCCTATGCCAGTGTGCTGGGAGAAAACAACCCAGCAATGGGACCAGTTCACCCGCCCTGGTCGCTACGCTGGCGTGCGGTAAAAGCGCACGCGGCAAACGCGTGCGGCACGTCAGACACCCTCGGAGCCCCTGTCACGTGTCGAGGTTCCTGACCTGCGACTTGGCCCCGCAAAACACAACTGCGAAAGTAGGAAGCCGATGGCATCGCGCCAAATGATCCTTCGCTATCACTGTAATACAGGAACACTTGCTCAGGGACCAGGGAGACCTGATACTTCTACATTGTGGCCTCTTGAGAAAGCAGAGAGTCATGGGGACTCTTCCCTTCCACTCTACAGAGACGGTGACTGTACCCTTTGCAGGTTTGTGTTCACGGCAGTATTCTAAAAGCAACACAGGCAGGACATAGGTAGACACCCAACGCAAAGATCGAGTTCTGTCGCACTGCTACAAGGCACTGACAAGATTTGAGTTTCCATCAGTTTCCAGCGTGTTTCTGTCGCAATGCCACACTGTGCAGCATCAACATTAACATCGTCACTATTGTTGGGGATTGCTCAAGCAAAGCCCTGATTCGCACAAGAGCCGGCAACCGCAAAGGATCTGAAGGTTCGTCAACATACCGCGAGATCTTCCTCAGTCTGGTAGAGGCTATCCTTGCGACAAAGACCACACCCCGGCTGTTAAGCAGACATGCGAGGTCTTTCTTGTTGAGCAAATTGCAATGATCATGATGATCAGTGGCGCCAACTTGTGAAACCCGTATATACAGTGGGTTCAGAGTAGATGACATAATCCGAATCCCCAAGTTTGGTGGTTTATATGGACCCCCATCCGTCTAAAACATGTAGGGGTGCCGGTGCCATCCAACCTCTGAAACCACTGTAGTAACTAGCCACAACGGTGACTTGAGTGAAGCGCGCGGACTTTGCGCAAAGCGGACTCCTGCAGGCCATCTCCAGCCCTATTTTTGGCACTCTTCTTAGACACATAGACATAGCCACCAGCAGTGACGGCCCATATCCCAGACACTCCATTGGACAGGTCAATGTAGGCATATAGGGCAGTCCCATGGAGTGTTTGGGATTGACATTGTTGTTCTCCCGTCTTCTGAATTGGTGTCAGCTCCCTGGTTCCATCTGGTTCCTCAATCTCTTCGTGGCCATGAGCAAGCAATCAAACGGCCTGGTCACCACACTATGACATGCCAGACAATTCGTCATTGCAGTGCTGTAATTGCATGCCGCTGTAGTCACTGGCAGATTAGCTTCAATGTAATTACGCAAGAAGAAGAAGAAGAAGGAGAAGAAGAAGAAGAAGAACAACAAGAATAAATCAGAATAAATACTATAAAACATAAGATAAAGTTTGGATGCTGTAATTAGTAATTACTACTAGCGTCCCTGCCCTGCTACCAAAGCTTCAAAGTCCATTAAACATGGTTATATACCCGACCTTTGCCCCAATCTGTGAAATCACGGTGGGATATTCATGACCCTCACAATCCAAATCTATATACCACATCAAATCCCCAGCTGTGCTCCAAACCCTGGTTCCTGACTGTTCGGCTCGGTCCTGCTCCAACCGACGGCAGTCCCAAAGACGACGTTCCTCCCAGGCGTCGTGTCGACTTCTACGACCTGGGCCGCACTGCCGTGGCGCTGGTCAATGTGGCCGGCCGAGAACAGCAGCTGGTGTGCGATTTGCCAGGCCGTTGGCAGTGCCAGGAGTCACACGGAGTTGGGTGGTTTGGCTTGTCCCATCCAGTGGCTGTGACAAGGGATGACAATGGTACATGTTCGGCGCCCCTTTGTGACTGGTGAATCAAATCCGCTGCTTGACCCGACATGGCACCGAATTCGTCCAACAGGAGCTCCGTGTCGTCTCGACCGTCGATCGATCAACCTCCGGAATCTGTAGTCTGTTCATTTTGGGGTGGGAAAAACCCAATGAACCCCTGCTTTGAGCCACTGCCAAATGACCTAAATGACCAAAAGCGCCAAATGGATGCTTTAGTGGCGTTTTGTCGCCCATCCGACTCATGATGGACTCATTCTTTGTCTGGAATTCGTCAGACATGACTTCATGGCGTTTCCTTTATGACACTTCCTTCTGAACCATGCAGGCCCCCCGTGGCTCGCACCCCCGGTCTCCCGTGGCATCCAGGCGCCACGACTGGGCTGATTGAAAAGCTCACGGCGAAGAAGGTCCAAATTGAGGTTCACCAGCCGGAGAAGCCGCCGCTCGACGTAGAAACGACGTAACGAACCCTTTTCTGTGCAACCTGCAGTTTGGGTGATGATGGATGATGATGTGTTTTTATACAGATTTTACAGCTTTTACATGTGTTCCTTCGAGTGAAGATGGATGGTTAAGGTGGTGTGTAATGGTAAAGGTCGACCTTCCTCTTTGCACCACTCATTGGTTTGGACATCCCAAGTAGCTATGTCCTTGGATGCGATGCTGCGTACTGAATCCATCTTCCAACGTGAGATCTACTCATATCCCTCCAACCGTCCTCAGGGTGACGTTGACCTGGGCCCCAAAGGAAGACGGCTTTCCTCTCTACAAACTGGGGCGCTGGTCCACTTCCGTTTTCGAGGCAGAACTGGTGGCAATTATCGAAAGGGTGCACTTTTGTTCCGTTCGCGAACGCTCTTTTTATGGATTCCCCAGAGGATTTATGCGCATTCTCAACAAGTGTTGAGATCATGCAGAACTCAAAGCAGCAGCAGAAATCTTCAATTACCAGCATCAGCCAGGGCCCGACCAATCTGTCCACCTCCCTGTGCCTCAACCCAACCCTGAACCCAACCCACGTTTCGTTTCCAGGAATCCCCTCTTCGGTGTCTTGGGCGACATCGCCTTCCCTCTCCTCGTCATCGGCGGCTTGCTCTTCCTCCGCTCGCGCGGTCCGGCTGGTGGCGGCATTCCGGGCTTCGGCAACCAGGGTAAAGCCAAGCGCCTTGGGCGGCAGGCGGTCCGTGCACAGGCATTGGGGTAGAAGTGGGGGTCCAAGCTACCTACAGGCTACGGGTCTCTCTCACCTGATGGGATTCATGGTGCTTTTTCCCGTGTCTCCCCTGCAGTCTCTGCATTTTCGGGCTGGAGTAGTAAGGGCGGGGTGGGATGCATGATGTCTTTCAGGCAAGAAGACATTGGTTCATCAGGGTACCCTGGTCCATCAGCACCAGGCACCAGGGTTGTGTTTTGCATGGTGAAATCGGTAAGACAGTAGGTAAGACATACTGTATTATTATATATGATTATTATATATTAAATATATATATATATTATATTAGTACATAATTATATATTGTAATATTATAGATATTGTTATTAGCTATTATTGAATTTATGGAAGTGTGAACCAAAGACTTATGTTTAGTTTAGTCACCTTCAAGTTGTGGATGTTTTCCTTTGATATATATATATATACAAAAGACCAACCTGGTCTCCAAAACCAGTGTCTTTTGGTTCTATCCCATGTGTATTTGCCGAGGGCTTGTGTGTCATGAATCAACCGGAGACCCAGTGCGCAAACCTGCCAAGGATCATGATCACACCTGAGACAGGCTGGTGGGTGCCGGTGTGGCGTTCTGGTGTCGGGTGGTGGTGTCGCTAAGCGATACTTCTCGAAGTGGTTGCTAAGCACTTGGCTCGAACAGTTCGCACATTGAGCAGACGTCAAACCTTGGCAAGGGGTAGGATGACTGTCCTCCACAGGAGTTTTGACCAGACAAAAAGACGGGAAGTTGGTGTCCTTTCTCTTTTGGTCAACTGGAAGCGACTGAAAGGATCAAGACTTGGTCAGGCTCCATCTAGGGTGCTATGCTGTGCATGAGATGGTGGGGATCATGACAGACCCAGAGTGCAGGCAAACCTCACCATAAATACCTGCCCCCGGCACAAGCAATGGTCTTGGATGCTTAGAAGGCACGGTATGTCTGCAGAATCTTCTTGTTGGTCGGCCCTGGACTCAAAATAGCAACCACGGGTTCCCCCACGGGGACTGGATCCATGGTGATCATGGATGCTCTTCAGGTGTTGTATCCTCTTCAAACCATCGTGAAAGCCATTCACTTTGAGGAGTCAAGTTTGAGAATGTTGCGGGCATCGATGAAGCCAAAGAAGAGCTCATGGAGATTGTCGACTTCCTCAAGGCATGCTTTTCCTGGCCTTTGGAGCGTGCTCGACCTGGTTTGTTCTGCTGAAGAATTAGCGGATTCAATAGTATTTAGACTGATTCAGCCTTTTTCCAACTGAACACCAGCCCGGCAACTAAGTTTTAGTTGTGTGCGTGTTTTAATACTGTAACATTAATAAGAGCATCTACCCGTGTTGGGTGATTAGTCCCGTGTTACGGATGGTCATTCGAGAGGAGCACTCCCACACGACCGGGCGGAAGAGCCTTGACATCGGCGCTGCCGATGTCGATCGAATCAGTAAAAGGATCGCCGCCACGTGATGCGATCGTTCCTCGAGAATGCAGGTTTCAGCAACAGCCAAGTGGCTGGCGCACGGGTTTTGGTCCCACTGCAGATGATTCATTGCTCTATATCGTCCAAGTTGCCATCTCACCATTTCAGCTTGGGGATACCGTGCCACTCACCTCGGTGCTTTTCATCACTTTTCCAACCACACTCCACCCTCCAGCTCCAGCTCCATCCACCCACCTGACCAACCATCCGCTCCATCCACCGCATCGAACCATCGAACCGGCCAGGCCCCCGAACGCTTCGTGAAGGTGGGGGCGAAGATCCCTCGGGGCGTCCTGTTGACCGGGCCTCCGGGCACTGGAAAGACCTTGATGGCCAAGGCCTTGGCTGGAGAGTCCGGTGTACCGTGCCTCGCCGCAAAGGGGGAGGCGGCTGAGACACGGCAGGTGCGGCAGGTGCGAGTCTCCCCAGGGTGCCTTGAAATGAGATGAGAGACTGCCTGTAAACTACAGGCCAATTGCTTGAGTAAGGGGATGATTACACATGACTCTGACTACACCAGTATATAATAAAGAACTCCCTGAAGTGTCATATGATTTTGAGCACCAGAATTCTGGCTGGTTCGTAGTTGTTGGACCATGATGGAAGTCACCAAGCGATACAGCAATTACTTGTTTTGCAACTGTGAATCTTGACCCAACCCACATTCTTGTGAAGCTCCCAGTGGTTTTGTCTAAAGTGTTTAGTAAGAGATTCCATCCGATGGAGCGTCAAAGCATCCTGACACACACACACAAAAAAAAACAGACAACATAAGCAAACACCACGCAGCAACAGCAACAGCAACAGCAGCAGCAATCACAGTAGCACAATGAGCAAGAACGTTGGTATCAAAAACAAACCTGGCCAGCCATTGAACAAACAACGAGAAGATTTCGACATTCCCTACCAGCACCACTTCATAGACCCCCTGATTGTATTTTCCGTCCATGCAATAACAATCCTTTGGGTGGTGCTGGTAGAGGGATCGAGTGAGTTTATGAGTGGATTCGTCAGACGGCTCCAAATTACAACCTTAAACAAAACCATCTATTTTTTTTGGTGGGATTGGTCTCCCCACTCCAAGCGGACGAACAGGGTGGCCAAAAGTCAACGGAAACTATAAGGGATACAGTCGATTCTGGTGGTTCCCCACTTCATCCCAGACCCCATGAGACCCCCTTCCGGTCCAAAACATCTAGGGCCATAGGGAAAAAATCCAAGAAACCAACACCGACCTCCTTCCGACCTCAGACCTCGAGACCCGATATGCACCCGACCTCGCACCGACCTCGCACACCCGACCTCGCACCGAGGTTCATCCAGTCCTCGGCCTCGGAATACATCGAGCTCTTCGTGGGCGTCGGGGCCTCACGCGTGCGGGACATCTTCAAACAGGCCAAGGACTGGGAGACACGCGGCACACGCGGCGAAGGACGGGGACGCGACAGTTTAAGCCGGTGAGATCGAGATTGAACGAGATTGAACGTGACAGTTTCCGAGGGGAGCACCATTTCAGGAAGAGTTCAAGGCAAGTTTGGGAGAAGATATCTTTTGAATTGTTGCAAGTACAAAAAAGCTTTGGAATTGAACTGTTTTTTTTTCTGTCTTCGAACCCAAAGTACCCTTGAAGTGGATGTCTCCACCACGCATCCGCTGGGCCTCCCCACCGTCAGCCGCCACCGGGCCAGGAGAAGGCGCCCTGCATCGTTTTCATCGATGAGATCGATGCAATTGGTCGGCAGCGAGGAGCTGGCATGGGCGGTGGCAACGACGAGCGTGAGCAGACCTTGAATCAGTCACTGGGACCGTTCAGCCACGTCATGCGCGCGGGTACGAATGCGGGTCATCTGCGAGGCGAGGAATGTTTTTTGGGGTGGCTTAGGAGATCACCATTGAAGAGGTAGAAAAGATGTCCATTTTCTTGAGCCTTTCACCTAAGAGAGGCTTTAGCTTGAGCTAAGGGAGAACTGCTAGTGCAACAGGTGAACGCGTGGAAATATCGTACGTTTGTAGCATGTAGCTGGAGCTTGCATTGATGGTTCCTCACACTATTTTATGCGTTGCTTTTTCCCTGAACAACGAAGGACCCAACAACTTTGCAGTAATTCACACGAAGAACAACTCTCTCGAACACTGCTGAGTTCACGATTCTTCAAAAACTTGACCATTTGATGGTTGCTTTTAGTGAAACCCTGGGCATGATGGTCTGCGCCTTAAACCCCTGCAGACCCTCTCTATTCCCTTTTTCTTCGAAACCGAAGCCGAAACAGCGCTGGTGACCCATCCAGACGACGGTTTTCCATGGTTTTCCTCATCCTGTCGGGGTCTTCGTGCCACAAGGATCCTCACCGAGATGGATGGCTTTGAGGGGAACTCTGGGGTCATCGTGGTCGCCGCCACCAATCGCTCGGACCTTCGGACCGGATCGGTGCCGCTGGTTGGACGCTTCGTAGGTCGCCGCTGGTTGGCCTTGGACGTTTCGGTCATCGTGTCAGTTCACCCAGCTGTGTCCGTTCACCCATGGTTTCTAGTGTGAGGAGGGACTGAGGACCAAGTTCCTTGCGACCCAATGATCGAGATCTTGTGGGCTGGTGGAGAAGAATCAGACTCAGATGTGAGTACGTTGCTCGATGTTGCTCGTGATGGTGGCTGCTTTGGTGGAGGATAAAGAAGGCCCTGCGGCCCTGCTGGTTGCAGGCATGTGAACACCACGTGGGCCATTTGCCTGCCATCAGACTATGCATCCTTTTGTTATCTCATGTAAATAAAGTGGATCTCACAATGCATCGATGGATCTTGCAGCTAATTAATGTACAATAGTCTAGGACCAGTGACTAGCTATAGATAGATCTTAGGGTATCCACAGCCACAGGATACTTTCAGTCAGGATCTGGTCTCTTCCTCAAACCTTTGACACGCAAATCCCTCCCACACGTCCTCCTTCGCTCCATTCGCTCCCTGCACCGGCTCTCAGGACATCCTGGACAGCGCCCTGCTGCGTCCGGGGCGCTTCGACCGGCGAGTGCAGGTGAGCCACGTCAAAAACCTCCATGAAGAGTTTTTGTAATGCAGTTGTCCTGACATAACCCCCGCGAAAGGCAAAACCTAAGTCGCGAAAGCTTCGAGAAAGCTGTTGCGAAAGACACCATGACAAAATGGTTGCGAAAGGAGTATGCGAAAGGACGGTTTGGATGATATGTAGGATTTGTTTCCAGTGCTAGCTGTTTTTCTTTACGCTGCTTTGATGCAACTTCGCCATTGTCACCATGAGAGCTTTGCGTAGATATATATACAAGGACGTTTCTAGCCCCAAACTGAACGGTTTTTTCTGTATTGCACCAGTGCCCATGGTGGGCGAGTCAGATAGCAAGCAAGGAATTCTCACAAAAAAATACCATAAACAGAAACCTAGGACCTAGAAACCGTGTTTTGACCACGGGTTTCTCGAAGTCGAAGGTCGAAAATCCGCGAAAGGCGTGCGAAAGGTTCGCGAAAGGCTTGAGAAAGGTGACGGTTCCATGTTCAGGATGTAGCCCATCGATTTGTATTTTCTACTTGCCACGTGAAAATGAACATTTGCTAGAAGGAGGCAATACAGATTTATTATTATGCATATGTAGAGGTATACGCATGTTGTTCCCCACCTGCGAGGTGAGGGTTGTTGGATTTATATCAGAGCTCTTCTCAGAAGGAGGTTCTTCTCCTCCTCTTCCTCCTCCTTCCCCTCCTGCAAGTGCCTGATCGCAGTGGGCGCTACCGGACCTCAGCCGCAAGTGCCAGATCGCAGTGGGCACTACCGGAGCTCAACGCAAAACACACAATCACACAACATTGAAATGTCATGGTGGGGATCATTCGAAGTAGAGTTATATGTGTGGTTCCCAACTTCTCTCGCGAAAGGTCCTGCGAAAGGACTGAGCAAACAGTATCAAATAGTGTATGCCCGCGAAAGGTAAGACTGTGGTCGCGAAAGGACCGCGATAGCCTGTCGCGAAAGGATGCTAGGATTACAAAGCCATTTCCAATAGGTTTTCGACACAGCTCAGGTGGCGTTGCCCGACGTTCAGGGGCGAGAAGAGATTCTCAAGGTTCACGTGAAGTGCCTGGGACCTGCAGAAGTGCACGTGACGGGCCTCGTGAGTGGGCATGAGTGGGCTGGGGACAGACCTGAAAATGATGGTTTTTGGACATAGCGAAGATGTGGAGCTGGAGGGATTCCTGTTTTGGGAGAAGAAGAAGAACCACTGATCCGATATTTGGGGAACCATTCAACGTTGTCAGAAGTGGAAGGTCCTCTTAAGAGTCTTAAGAGTGTGAAACAGCATGACTGCAGTTCTTTATCATCTATTTATGTCCAGAATCACTTGGAAAGTAGTTCTTCTACTTCTTTCATTCACTTGGCTGCGTTTCGAAACGGGGTACAGTAGCACTGACAACTCCTAGAATCATCCCACTGAGCACCGCAACCGCATGAGCAGACATTCAGCACCAGCAAGTTGATGGATGAAACCGTGCCTTCGACCGCAGAGTAAAGCCATGAACATCTCACTCTGAGTGTTCCCCATGATGGACGTATTTTCTGGTTTGCCGGTTGTTTGCCCCTTGGGCCCAGACTGGAGGAGGATGCACATGATGTGCACATCATGTGAGGTTTGCGTGAGGAGCCACCTTTTGTGGCACTTTTTGGGGTTTGACCTCACAATCTGTGCCACTTTTTGCTTTTTTCCCCCAATTGCATGAGGTTGACAGACCGGATCTAGGAACTGTGGTATGGGCCACAAGACGGGCTGCTCAACCTTTCTTGGCCATTCTTTTGCACAACTCACTCTCAACAACATCCTGAACCAGCCCACCCACCCACCAGATTTGATGTGCCAAAGGAACAAGAAGCTGGCGGAGAACATCACCTTGACCGATATCGCCAAGCGCACCGCCGGCTTCAGCGGGGCAGATCTCGAGAACCTCATGAATGAGCCACAAGTCTAACAACGGCGGAGGAGCGAAAGACTGCGATTATGTTGGGTGAGTTTAAACAAATCTGACTATCAATAAATATCGTGTCTATTATGTTGAGGTTGGTTCCGGAGTGAGTTGAATACATCGGAACTTCGTTTTCCGCCTGGACCAAGAGAGCGAGCGCCCATTTGGGACGTGCTTCTGCCTGATCAGACCACTTCCCACCGCACCCGGGCGCCTTACATCCAATGTAGCCGGGGTCTTGCATCCATGCATCCGGGGTCTTGCATCCATGCATCTAATGTGTTTGTTTCTTTTGTAGTCGGCATAGTTCAAGTTCATACTATACCGCCAAATGCACCACATGGCTGTGGAAACAGAGCCTGTTGTTTTGTGCGATTCCATCTGTGAGTGGATGCAAGTGGCATAGGAGACACGAACAGCAGACATTCCAAGTAGATGATCGCCTGTTTCTTGTCAACCAGCCCGAAGAAAATTGGTTGATGTCAAAGGTCATGACTACTCGTACTTGGCGTCTACATGGCCCTTGCTCCAGATTTCCCTGTAGTATAGTTGGTGCGACTTCTTCGCAGATTTCTGGCAAATTCTGCCATGAACCATCATCAATCCCTGTTGCTTGCATAAGTACAGACATGATTGACTGAGCCTTGAGCCAGTCAATTCACATGAGTAGGGCTTGGTGCTTTTCTGAAGGATGTTCAAGACTTTCTGTCAACCACCTCTCCTGTGGGTTGACGTTTGGCGGTCACATACTCTTTCCCACGTCTCAGCCAGAAACCTCTGACACACACTGAAACTGAAGGGCAAGTACTCTTCCAGAATGTAGAGGAGTCCTCCTTGGGTTTTTCGGTCTCTTCCGTTCATCTCCTAGTCCCCTTGGGAGAGGTCTGCCATCTTGACAGCGCGGCGGAATAAGAAGGCGCGCCCCTTCTTTGGTTCTGTTGCTTGTCTTCCAATCAAGCACAAAGCGGGTCATCAGATGTGCACTCCTTCAAGAGGTGATCCCGAGATGCTTGGTCCATGTTTTATAGGAGGATAGCTGGAAAATGCTGGAGTGAGCATTTTGGGTGTCATATGGTGTCATCCAACCCAGCTACTGAGAAGGATCTCCTTGTGTGTCCTGGTTCTCCCTGGGGTCGTGTGATGTGATATGTATTTGGTGGAAATTGATTTGGTAGACATGCCAACTTGACACTTGATGACAGACCTCTATGGAGCCCCAAATCTCTTGTATGGCGAGACTTACCTTCACCTTTCAACCTTTGACCTGATCAGTCAGATGAACGTGACTCACTCCGACTCACTCCTTGTATGCCATATCGTACGTTACGTTACCTTGGGGTGGTTTCAGGGTCAATGTGGGCATAGCATTCATATATTATTCCATGCATGGCGTGTTTTGGGACTTGTATCCATGTCGTATCTTGGTCTTAGACCTTCGATATCACCACTTGTATCCTCTGCACCTCTAATCCGTGTGCACTCCCGGACTTGAACAGCTGGCCATGTTTCCTTCCACCACTCCGCTTATGAACAGCCCCAGTCAGTCGAAACGTGTCGTCCCGAAGAGATCGCCAGGCCATTACCATGGATGAGATCAACGATGTTTCTCGTCAGAACACCAGTGCCCGGTAGGAAGGGCACGGCGGTAGCTGGGCTCTCACTTCGAAGAAGGAACTTCCCTCAGAATGGCTCTCCCAATCCACTGAGGTTCCAATCCAGAATGGTCTTTTCAACACATGGTATGATATGGTATGCGTTTGCTTTGTTGAAAGTTTTGTCTTTTTGCCTCTACAAAGAGGGTTTGACAATGTTTCATTTGAGCCAAGTCTGAGTGTATCATACTTTTTGGAATGAAGTGTACAAAGAAGGCATGATAGTGATCGCCCTCCTCATCCGCATCATCAGCCTGGCCTTCCCCCACCGCACCCCATCCACCCCTTCTGAATCTAAGTGATACAAAGGCCCCACAAAACAGACGCGCGATACACAAACCACTGGCACTAAGCATTTAAGACCCCGACCTCTACAAGCACCCAGTGCAGACAGAGTGTTGAGCATACATATATAGCACCTGACCTTACAACGCTGGCTCCGCCGGCCGGTGGAAAACGCTCTCCCCTCCGTCTCCGCAGGCACTTCCTGCACGCGTCTTGCGCGCTCCGTTTGTCCAAGCGAGGCCACAGATCGCGTGATTGCGGGCTTGGAGGGGCGCAGCCTGACCGACAATGCCAGCAAGAAGCTCATCGCTTACCATGAGGACGACATACATCCAAAATGCCACCCCGGGGCCCCGGTGAAGCGGATGGTTCGGTAGGGGAAGTGGTGGGTTAACGTGGTAGGGTTTTCGCATGTTTTCGCCAACCGCATAGGGGAGTGTGAATCAAGGATCCGCAGGATCTGCAGCTTTTCCAGTATCGGACAGAGCCCCAAAGAGTTTGGTTTCAGTGGCTTCACATTTGGTTAATTTTGCCGTTTACTCTGCATGTCGTGCACGGCACCTTTATTTTTGTTTTTCAGAAACTCCATGCTACTGGAGACGCTAGGCTGGCCATGCGATCGTGGGGACTTTGCTCCCATACCACGACCCAGCCTCTTGGAGAATTGGACTTCGTCGGCTGAAGTCGACGTAAGTCCACGTCTCAGACTGGTGGCAGGTGAATTGGCAATTATTTTTTGGGGGGATCAACGAGATTTCAATGAGCATGCTGCTCCCCAAAAACGGGGAAAGTTTGTTGGTCTAAGTCTAAGTCTAAGTCTAAGTCTATGTTGTTGTTGTTGTTGTTGTTGCTGCTTGCGTCGTCAAGCATGTATCCAAGACAAAGCATATGACGATCTTTGGAAAAAAACTGCCGTAGGCATGATGGAAAGAGTGGACCCTACTTATATTCGGTCAACTCACGCTGTGACGTTCCGACCAAAACCACCCGTTTTGACCATGTTTTCCGCATGTTTCAAGCTGCGCTTGCGCAAGCCGACGCTGCCGAGCTTAGGTGAACAAGGTGACGTTGATCCCTCGTGGCCAAGCAAAGGGCCTCACCTGGTTCACCCCGGGAGAGGATCAAAGCTTGATCTCCGCCGCCATGCTCAAGGCCGTCAATTCTGAGCATCCGAAGCTGTGATGGTTTTAGCGGGAAAGGAACGGAAGGTGAGGGCTTGAAGAATTTGTGGCATGTAGAATGCAAGCATATGCAAGCTGCAAAGATGCCGACACACCGGTTCCAGCACGTACGAGCCTATTTTATCCTATTGTACTGTAGCTGATTTTGACACGTCTTTGACACTTGATTACATTTGATAGTTCTAAGTTCCAATTAGCCACCTCTCAAACACCTTGCCTTCTCTCAAACACCTCACCCCCGGTTGCCTTCTCCGCCCACTCCACAGGCGCGCATCGCCGGCGCCTTGGGTGGCCGTGCGGCAGAGCAGTTGGTCTTCGGTTCAGGACAGGTGACCACCGGCGCTGGCGGGGACCTGCAACAGGCGGGGCACTTTCTCCTGGTGGCAGGTGGGGTGCAGGTCTGGGTGTACGCAAAGGCGAGGCACAGGACTGGGTGCGGGTCGGTGCAGCAGTGATTCATTGGTCGGATTGCCGCGTCACTGGCGAGCTTCCCATTGGGTACACGCCGATGGGATCGGTCAGAGCTTGTTGTCCTTTGTCCCATCAATTTCGGTGTGCTGGTTTTGTTTTGAATCGATTCACTTGACTGAGTTTACATGTGTATATATCTATCCCAGACACTCCATGGGACTGCCATATATGCCGATCAGTTGGGGTGGTTGACTGGGGGTCAATGCAGGCATATATGGCAGTCCGGAGCGTATAGGTATTATTATCCTGTCAAAGCCGGTCTTGTGTGGAGTCGAAGGCATCCAGCAATCGATCGCAGCAAGACATGGGCATCGCTGTGCCAGGGGGGCGAGGTCGGCAATCGACGTTTGAATCACTACACCAACACCCTCGCTGACTCATGGTCTTTGGTGCGCAAGCACCAGGGGAGCTGGGCTCACGGGGTATGCGAAGTTCGAAAAGAAATGGTTGCTATAGCACCGAGCTACTGTTTGTTGCTGCTCCTGCAGCCGCAGCTGGTGCGAATGATGCTTTCAGATTGTCCAAAATACAGTGTTCCACCATGTTCCACCAATGCCTATTGCTGCTTCTCCTATCCAGTACTTGTGCCAGTTAAGATATTGATATTAATTACCTATGTCTCCGAACTCGGCTGCTCCACCTGACCTTTCTCGATCGGAGTCACTTTGCTAGATGCCTAGGTTCCACCATTCCCACCAGAATAGCCACCAAAGTAGGTGACAATTAGTTCATGCTATAGATGCTATAGACATCTACAGACTAGAATTCGTTTCCCCTTCTTTCTCATCCTTTTGGCTGTGCCTCTCACCACTGCGGCCAGGTGGAACGCATGGCGCGCTCCATGGTGACTCAGTTCGGAATGTCGGAGGCACGGAGCTTTTCGAGTCGAGTCAGGGGGGAGCACCTTGCTTTGCATGGTACAGAACCGGATCTTTGGAATGTTTTTGGTTGGAACGCTCCCTTTTTTTCCGCTGTTTAGGTGTTGTTTTGTCTCATGTAAAGAATAGTACCCATCTTTTCTTTGAGAGTGGCTCAGTTTTTCGAAAACTCATTTCGACACGGGCGGACTCGGAAATCCAAACTCCAAAGACGAGTCACTTGAGTCACTGCGCAGGTGGGGTCGATTGCCATCGACGACGGGGGCTTCATGGGACCCAGCTACTCCGAGGAGAGAACTCCTCGGGAGCCGCGGGGGCCGCGACGGAGCCGCGGAAGCTTGAGCGTTGGAGTCAAGAGATCGATCATCGATCCAGTTAGATTCTTCGGATTCTTCGGATCAGGCTCTCAGGATCGGATTCGGTGTGGATGGAGGTTCTGTCTAGTGGGGTAGTCGAACGCCAGGACAGACAGGATGACCCAGGTTTGTTCAGTTGATGTTTTTGTTGGAGGCTCTGAAAGTAGAGGGAGGGCGGACCAACATGGGAGGAACCATTTAGGCTTCATTTGGATTCTCCTTTTGCACCCTAGTTGAGGCGAACACATCCATTCGTTGCAGAATGTTGCAGATGAAGCACCATTTCCTTGAAGATACGCATCCACTTGGCAAGCTTCTGGATTGCTGTTTGCCAAGTGTTGTTTATGAGTACAGTCCAACTGCATGGGAGGTAGACCGTTTAGACCTGAAAACAGTCAGTCCCTTTTAAGGATTCATAGGATTCGGAGTCTGGGGTCGTTTAAGAAGACGGGATCACTTGACGGTGTGGGCGGCCGCAGAGACTCCAGCGATTCGGCTTCCCCTACGGGTCCTGAAACCAGAAGTGTCCTTTCTGGGCCGATAAAAAAGAAAATACGGTTGTCCTGCGAGCTGCCCAGCGGAGGACTTGAGCAAGAAGATTGATGAAGCTATCAAACACATCTCTGATGAGTGCTATTTGAGCTCCGGACTGATCATGGATGAGTGGATGTATGATATGGATTGGTGCGGGTGAAGGCTTTCACAAGGATTTGTTTACACGATCCCAGCCACTACATCATCCTCTTGAACAAATTTCATCTCTACCTGGACCATCCTGTCTGGGTGTCCAATGGAGATCTCTAAGAAGTGCAGGATAGTCCAGCCAGGACACCTATTGGATAGTCCCGGTACCTTCGTCTTCCGGTGAAGGACCACCCGCGAAATCTTCTCACCCAACGCCCGCGGAGGGACCCCGATGGGTTCGTTCCCCCACAGAGATCCATAGAGTGGCAGAAAGCAGTACTGAACGGATCTGAACGGAAGATTCGGAAGTATAACCAGACCAAGTTAAACTTGGTGCAGGTGGTGTTCAGCTGCTGGTGTCCACACTCACCCGCCCACATGACCCTCCTTGGACAGGAACACCTCTTGGTTGTGTAGGTACATGTCCTAATTAATTGGCCCCCACCTGCTCGCGGCACACGCCACTAATCCAAAATCTGGATGTTCGAGTTTGTTTTTGCTTTTGTTCCAATGCTATCTTGTCCATCCCATTCAAATCTCATGTGTTTTGGAAAGAAAGATCACGTGAACATGTGCGTAAGCCGCGCGTAAACAAAGCATAAACATCATAAACAAAAGTTTCGCTCGTGCATCCTAGTCCACGATGGCAACCAAAAACAAATATTAACATGGGCCGGGGATCAATCGACCAGCGGGTGACTATATGGTACAGAAAACGCACACAAGTAGCAAGATGCCAACTTCCAAGAGATCTCGAAGAAGACTGGCATTCAAAGATGAAGCTTGTTCAAGTTCATCAAGTTCTTGGTCTGTGTCTTCTAATTGAACTCCTTGCAGAACAAATGGGTGCGTAAGCTCAGCCGTGCAGAAATGGAAACAAATCAATCAAACCACGCAGGTGCAAGCATGCGTAAGCGAAGCGTAAGCTCTTATGAAGAAGACTTTGCGCGCAAGTGCAATTATGTAGTCGCGCAAGCACAGCGGACGCAATAGCGTAAGAAGCCCCTTATGACCATGAATTTCATCAGAACTGTTGACCCACGCTCATATATATATATATATATGTCACTCATCCATCAAATTCCGGGTGCATGTCCTTGAGAGTTACACAGTTGCGCTCGCTTGCGCTCACGTTTTGCCGCTCCGCGAAAAAAACCACGTGGCGCGCTTCCCGCGCTCACGCTTTCCGCTATGCTTCCCTCGCGCTCGGCACTGATAGGAATGCACTGACCATCTTGATGAAGAACCGTGAATGCCTGGACCGCGTGGCCGACGAGCTGTGCGAGTTGGAAACCATGACCGGCGACCGCCTCAAGGCACGACGCCTACGGACCGTCGGGTCGGAGGAGCAGATTTGGAGGTTGAATCAGCTATTGGTAGTACAAAGCCGTATAACTATAGGTTGACATGTGTAAGCCTGGGACAAACTGAGAAGTTCAGGACTGGATCAGTTAGAAGTACCCATGATAGCGCGCACAATCCTTTTAATTGTAGATTGACATGTATTACATGACATGCATATATAGTTGTTCAAGGGTCCCGTTGATTGAATTTTTGTGACTATGAAGCTCCTGTCTATCCGACATCAAAGCGCTTTGGCACCCAACTTGGCGCCGCAACGATTGACTTCACGCTGTTCACACTGATCGTTGGATCGAAAAGGTTGAAACTACCAAGAGAGGTTGAGTGACCTTATAGGGTGGGGTACCTATGGGATATATTGGGATATAGGGTTCTTCAACCTTTGTAGGGACACGTGCCGACGATTCCAAAGCTGTCTTCCCAGAACCGGATCCTTTCGGTCCGCATTTGTTGGAGGCAGGATCGCGTCGTTGCGCTCCGCGCAGATCCGCGGATCCGGAACCCGACGGGTTTGGGCTCAGGAGATTGTGGCGGAATACACAGAGATTCCAGAGAAGCTGGCGGCAGTTTCTTGGCGTGTTCTTTTTCTGTCCGACACACCCGGCTGTGGCGTTTAGACAGGGAGACCGGCGGGAGAGCCAAACACGGTACCAATGACAGGGAGAGCTTCATATGATATTCATATGCCTTCATACACCATCCTTGTGGAACTGCTGGTAGGTGGTTTGCCTTTTAGATTCGTTCAGTCAGAGAAACATCGACACATTGTCACGGACAATACCTGACCGTGAAGGTAATGCATCCGTGGCTTGTGTCTATTTGTCTTTGACCCAGACATATTTCTTACCTTTGAAAGTGCGTGGTTGTCTTGAACTGTAACTCAAGACTTAGGTTCTGGCTGCACTAGCTGAAAGGAGAGTTCACTGCTTTCACTGCCGCATTTGTCCTCATAATACTACCCATGCAATCAAGGCTGGCTTTCCCTTGTCCACATCAGGAAAACAGGGTTGCCCATCTTCAGTGGTTAACCCTGTTAACCCGTTCAAGTACTTTCAAAAAGAAACATTTCAACTTGGACAGCTCTTTGTTGCTAATTGGATCTTGGTCGAAGAATCAATTCTATTGTCCCCAGTACGCAACACTAGACAGTATGATTTCCCCTACCCTAAGAATCCGGGCCCTCAAATGGAAATGCTTTGGAAAGGATTGGGTCCTAACCCCCTGGCGGTTGCCACAGTTATCTTGGCCATGTCAGTGGCCCCGTTCGGCAGTCGATTGGTCGTGTCGATCGAGTTTTTATTTTTAAAGTTGCATCATATAGTGTAAAAGTAAGGGGGGTCATTGTGTATATCCTTTATGTTATAACTGTTATCTTCTTTTCAGGCAAACCATGGCAAACCAAAGTACAGCATATATATATATATATATGTTGGCAGCACACACCTATGAAGCCGCGATCCATGCGGCCCTTTTCCTCCTTGGGCATGAAAGTCCCTGGCGTCCTGACATGATACGCGGTCGATCAACACTCCTATCAATCCTCTCTAAAATGCCGAGAGGTATGGCTTCCAGGAATGACGCACTGACTTGCATCATTCAAACCACGGGCCTTGAAGTACGAAACAAGGTCTTTCAGACCCGGAGATCCACTCTTGAAGTGGGACACACAATAGTTCCGATAGGACGCAATGGATGCATCCGTGGAGTCGAAAAGCTCTGCATATGTCTTGGCATCTTTAAATTTCCCGAAACTCACAAGGGTCTGACCCCACCGTTCCACGGTAGGTACTCCATCTGGGAGTGCCACTGAAGGACTCGGAGCTCCAACAGGGTACCCTGTCGAGGGCATGGGAACATTCTTCATGACATCATGGCCAGATCCGGCAGGCGCATAGGTCACCATCTTCGACGTGCTGCCTTCATCACGGAGGCGCTTGGAGCCGTCAGTCATCGAGCCAGCGAGGGCATTAGGAGACACGGCCTCCCATGACAAATCTTCGGCAAGGTCGTCCAAATCCACGACCCGCTGCCAGACGGACTTCCACCATCCTGCCTTGCGTGCCAGCCGTACCAGGCGGACACATTCATCGGCCTCGGCCAAAGTGAACGATGGCTTGCTGGATGCCATGGCGATTCCCAGAGTACGCCTTATTGAAAAAAATCAATAAATATCGCTTGTTTCAATACAGCCCACCAGTTTCAATAAAAACAAAACTTTTATTGAAATGTAAACCAATAAAGTTTGTTGAAATATACCAATAAGGCTTTATTGGTTTAGGTTTTCAAACCAATAAACTTTTTATTGGTTTAAACTTTCTAGTGAATAAGGTTTTTTTGA